ATCTCTTGAGGCTCAATTCAACATTCCCAAGTCAGCCGGCCACCAACCTCTGATTGCAGGCACCCACTGAAGCCGGAGACCACATTCCTTTCAGAAATGGCTTCTCCTGGACTCTCTCCGTTTGGGGCCTGGCTTCTCTCAGCTCACACGTATCTGACACCACGGTCCAACTGCCAACCAAACCGGTCGATCACCGAGTTCTGCCCCCTCTTCTTTTAAGACATCTCTGCTTTCATCATCTCCTTTTCTCTATTCCCACTGCCACCCCATGTAGTGAATGGGCTCCCCAGAGAGGCTAGAGCCAAAGATTACATCGCTTACACACATGTGCACACTCATGCACTGTTTAAGGCAAGGGCCCTGAGTCTGCAGGTTGGTGGGTAACTTCCATCAGCCCCCGCACCTCACATTCCCACAACACTCCCCACCTTGCCTGGCCTGTAGGAGCCAGTCCTACCCCATTTCTTACCATTCTTCTTGAACCCCAGGTTCAAGCAACCCTCTGTCTAGGGAGCCCAACTGTGCTTCCTGTACATCCTGGCCACACAGCTCACCAGGTGTCTAGAACTCTTCTTCCAGCAGTTCTTCTCTCAGGCTAGACATTGACTGGGAGCCACTGCAGGGCTCGGGCCACAGGCATCATTCATTCAAGACCAACCCATGGCATCTCCGCATGAGCCAGCAAGAGTGTATGGCTGCAAGGTCGCAGTGCGAGCCTGTGCAGGACACCACCAGCACGGAGACCAAGTCAGAAACGCAGCACGGAGGAGGCACACATCAGGTGAACAGCCTAAAATCGCATCTGCAAGAGTCCAAGAGGGGTGCAGAGCCGGTAAACAGAGAGACATCTCCAGGTGCTACTTGCCAGTGTTGCTTCTTACAGGTTTTGCTTTTGCTGCTCAGTTGAAAGCACAGAAACTGAAATCCCAGCAGCTCCAATCAATTAGTTCCCAGGTCTCGGTCTCCAAACTACCCTCCAGGAAGAGGGATAAGGGCTCTTCGAGCAATGGCCGATTCTAAGGCTGGGGCAGGAAATGTGCGAGAGAGTCTGGGAGCACAGCACAGTGCCAAAAAGTCAAGACATGCTCAAAAAAATATTTTAAAACAAAAACCCCATGATAATGGGGGTATGTCAAAGGGACACAGGAGCCAACTGAAAGAGCTCCAATCAATCTAAGCAACAAAATAATCGGGCACTGAATTGTAACCTAAAGTATAATAAATATCTGAGTCCATATTGATGCAAATAAATGACTGAATAATGTACAAATGGAGGGAACAAATCTCCCACATAGAAGAATTCCAAATAATTGTCCCCTCAAAGCAGTGGGGCCTAACTCCGGCCTCTCACTTTGGGCTGCACGTAGTGGCTGCCTTCCAAGGAAAACGTGACAGGCGAGGCAGGGAGAGCCACTTCACAGTGGAGAAACCCAAAGCACAGCCTCAGCCAAGTGGCACAGTTACACCAACAGCGGTAAGTCATGTTGACAGGATGTTCCCTGCCACGATGTCACCGGGGGGTGCTCTGTCTCTGGTCTCCCTCCCAAAACCCATAACCCTAGTATAGCCATCAAAATATATCAGACAAACCCAAAATAAAGGGCATCCTACAAACACCTGACCATCACTTCTCAGAGCTGCCAAGGTTATCAAAACAGAAAGTCTGAGAAACTGTCACAAGTGAAAGGACCTTGAGGAAATTAAGCAAATAAGTATAATGTGGTGTCCCAGACAGGTCCCGGGACAGAAAAAGAACATTAGACAGAAAACTAAGGAAACCTAAATAAAGTCTGGACTTTAGTTAATAACATGCCACCTTTGCCAGGAGAACATGTTAACAACATGGGAAACTGCGGGTGAGGGGAGACAGAGGAACTCTGCGCTATCTTCGCAAATTTCTATAAAATTGAAACTATTTTAAAATTTAAAAGTTTATGAAAAAATAATCTTATCTCTAAATCTGCGAGCCTTCCCTTCATTTATGTATTTTTTCAAGGGCGAGGATGGAAGCCTGGCTCTGTAGCCACAGCGAGGCCTCAGCTCCCTCCAGCCGGGCAGGAGCCACTCGGTGTACGTTCGTGGGCTACCTGGTGGTGGCTTGCCCCTTGCCTGCTGCTGCTGGCTGAAGTCATTGGTGCAACGACTCCAGGTCAAAGCTGGCAGACTTCTCCCAGGACAGTTTAGGCCAGCCAGCCAGAGCGATCGGACAAGCCTTGCACGAACTAACCCCTAATCCCAGACTCCTCTGATGCGACTTGGCTACAGGAATCCAGCCCCATGACCCAAATGCTCTGTGACCTGGGCTGCTTGGTCTGCCCCAAACTGCAGGGCCTCTGGGCAATCCCTAATCCAGTCTTGCTTCTTCTGGCTCACCTGTAAATCAATGGTTTCCACACCTTCTTAGCCCATCAAGACAGATGCACTCTGCTTCAGAAGAAAGGGATACACAGGCTGACAAGAAAGGCGGGAAAGGCTGTAAGTGTCCTCCTTCAGAAGACAATCAAGAGCAGAAAGAGGGGACTGGACAATGAGGAGGATTTTCAAAGGTCCCAGACGCTCAGGGCCCAGAAGGGAGCACAGCACCTTCTGTTTCACAAGCATCAGAGGGTTACACCTGATTCTCAGACATCTTGTGTGAGCGCCCACCACGTATATGCATTCCCATGAAATTCGGCCTAATTTATTAGTGAAATCTAGGAAAACACACAAGTCAGTCTACATAATCACTGCGCCCCATCAAGATTCCCAGGAAAAAGAAAGAAAAGGTGAGGGCGGGGTCAGGGAGACCAACCTGCTGCCGGAGACCCTGGACGGCAGGAGCATTGCTGTGTGGGCTGTGGTCAGTGTCCTGCTAAGGCAGTGAAACAGTCCTTTTCTAATTCAACATTGTCATCAGGAAGGCTCCCTCTCAATTTTAATGAGCAGTAACTCTTTTGATAAATTTTAAATAATTTTATGAAAAAAGAAATATCCAATTTAGGTAGTTAGCAAATAGCACCTTTCAGTTCTTTAGACAAGGTGTTTCCAATAGAGTTCCATTTTCTCAGTTACAGATTTACCTCAAGAAAAGAGTATTCAAATGTAACAACAAATCCTTTAACTAGTCAACGATGATAATGGGAAAAGTTCCCAAAAGTCTCATCGAAAAACCAAAATACTTTCAAATTAATAAGATGCATGAAATCAACAAAAGAACCTAACACCGAAAGTACTGCAGCAATAGTCCCTGAGTGACATGTCCCTAAATGTAGGGGACAACCAGAGACGCTGGCTGCCCAACAGCCAAGCCACCCAGCAGCCTGGGGCTCTCAAGGAGTCTGACCCTGCAGTCAGCCAAGGACAATGAGCATAGAAACTTTAAAAAGAAAAGGTATTACTACTGCTCCCTTATCAGCAGCTCAGAAAATAAAAAGAAAGTCCCCATTCATCACCACACCTTGACTGAGGTCAGTTCTTATTTGTGTATTTTACATAACATCAGTGAGTACCAAGACATAGCATCCTGCGTCTTCACTTAGGTTGTAGACAGATATCATGCTGTTATCAGGCTGTATAATTATCGTATTTTAAAGACTGCATCAAGGTCTTCATACACACCTATTCTTTAACTTTAATCTAAAATCTGTCTTATATAAAGGATAAAACATGGCCATTTCTTCAGACCTTAAGCTGCCACGGGCTGGCAAAGCAGCAAGAACTCCGTGTAGCTGTGGTCATGGCTGGGATGGGCCATGACCTTCTGCATGAAGGCCAAACCTCTGCTTGGAATGGGGGCACGCCCCTTCAGGCCCTGCCAGCCAACCACAAAGCAGGGGTGCCATGGCTGGACTTAACTCGGCCACCGTGTGTGCTGGCAGGGGGCTGGGGGGTATGTTTGTTCCGAGAGGCCACAGTGAGATTGGAAGACAGTCGCTGCTCCCTGGAAAGATCTTGGACAAGGATGCTCACCGTAGCATTACTTGGGCCATAACGTATTTTATTCCATATTTAATAGTAGCCTAAATGCCTTTCAGGGAAACAGTAACTTCTGGTTCAATTACATGGTGAAATATGCTACACAGACACCGGAAATGAAAATCACTGGGCTTATAACAAGCTGACAAGTGAAAAAATAAAATTCTAAGACCCACCAATGTAAATATACAGAAGCACATACGCACATACACATACACACACACACACACACACACACACACACACACACAAAATAGAAGAGGTAGATGAAAATATATTAAAGTTAGGAGTACCATGATTTTCTTTTTTATCTATTGGACCATATTTTTCTAAATGCCTTACGATAAGCATGCAAAATTTTATCACTGGAAAAAATGTCCCCACATTAGGTTGAACACCTCCCAGCCCACATGCAAAAGGGAAACGGAGAGACAGAAGGCTGCTGCTGAGAACTTGCACGGAGGAACAAAGCCCAGCAGGGGGTAGGGGTCACCCCAAGGACCAGCCAAAGAACACTCAAGTCCAGCTGAGCGCCACACTTACAGCCTGCAGTGGCTTCCATCGTCCTCCTGGGATTCTGCAACGCACACTTTCCCCAGGGGACAGCCCACTGCCTAGAATGACCCTACACACAAGCCTGCTTGCTGAGGCTGGGTCACGTGGAGATACAATATAGCGCCCCATAAATCTGCTATGAGGCTCAATGAAGTAAGATCATTTCTTATGGAGAACTGTGTCACTGGATCTTCAGACCTAGAGCCACTTTAGACAGGTAAATCACATGCCAACCTTAAGCCAAATGCAGCTCCATAAAGAGACCAGCACCTTGCCGGCCACAATGTCATCAGTGGCCAGTGTCATTAGTGGCCACAGGTGATCAGAATAAATGATTGTGGCCACCAAGGGCGGTGTGTTTCAAATATGCCAAGTGACGAAGCTGGCACAGGTCCCTGAAATGCTCTGAGGTTTGGGGGTAAGACTCATGGTTTCTTTCCTTCCAGGGCATCTTCACAGGAAGAAACCTTCGCCCTCTCAGAGAGTCTTACCTCGCTCACAGATGCTCCTGTTCCTCACTCCCTGGGCTGTCCGTGGGGCAAGGCTGACACGGAGAGAGTGACACTTGTGACCTCGGGATGGAAGCACCTGATGCAGGAAAATTTCACAGGTGCTCTAGTTAGACTTGTGTTGTGTTAAGACCCCTACCTCCAAAGGGTTTGGGAGCTGAAAGGTAACCGGCAGGTTAAGTAGCAGCACACCTGTGGAACCCACAGTCACGTCCCCCCAACTCCTTTCCTCTCTTTAACCTTCGGTTTCTTTATCTACACATTGATGGTGTGCTGTCTGCTGCCAAGGGTGGCTGCCCGGGCTCACCACGCAGCTGTGGCCTGAATGGCATGTGAACGGGCACTCACTATACCACTCCTCACTCCTGCACCTGGAAGGGCCTGCCCGCCCACTCCCCCGCCATAGACTAAAGCAGGGGCAGGGGCGTGTGGCTGGGAGACAGACTCAGGGCTCTAGGGCCCACAGGGGACAACAAGGCCAACTGGCTGGAGACTCAGTGCCCTGGCCACTCAGGGGTTGGGGACAGGGCATCTTTTGCCTGACAGGCTGCAAGCCGGGTGTGAGGGAGCAAGTGTGCAAGCTCACAGAAGCTGCCTGGCCCCAGCACATGAACAGCCCACTGAAGCCTGGGACCCCAGGAAGGGCAGACAGCTAAGGAGAGGAGCCCAGATTCAGGTTCTGCTCCCCAGAACTGAAAGTACAGGGGAACCAGCAAGGAGGCTCCTAACAAGTCAATTTGCCATGACGTCCTGCCTGCAGCAAAAGTACACTGAGCCACAGGAACACGTGACAGGATGCTGGGTAAAATCTGGGCAGTCACCTGACCTCCCTCTGAGCTTCCCTTCCCTCCTCTGCACTTGGAAATGAATAGCAACTACCTCCTCCAGTAGCTGGCCTCCAGACACTGATCCTGGAAAAGCCCCAGGTGGTAGAGGAGCCAATCCTGAGCCAGCAGGAGAGGGGGCCCCCTGGTACACCACAGGAGGGGCAGCCATCCCAGGGATCTGGGCGGCCCAAAGTTGTCCTGACTTAGACACAGTGTGCCTGAGATAAGAAAAAGGAACATCCGCAAATTACAAAGTACATCCTCCCCATCTGAGCATTAAGCACACACCCTCCCACAGGCGGCAATGCCCAAAACAGCACACCCTATGTGAGGGGGAGCAAAGGCAGCTCCCAAAGGGGCTGCAAAACAGACCTGGAGTTTGGAAGATGAGGACATTTGGAAGATGAGGAGTTTGTTAAGAGGCTATGGGGACAGTGGTGTTGAACCACCTGCCCTCGGCAGTGTCTATTGTGACCTTTCCTAGGTGGCTCTGCTCGCACTGCAGGTAGGCTATCCAGGTCAGTGGGGCCTCTGCCTCCTCTCCCTCCTCTGTGGCACCCGGGTGGGAGTGGGCCGGGGGTGGGGGCAGAAAGCCCCCGCTCACCAGGCTCCTAAGCTTTGGGCTAAAGGATAGTGACTAACAAAGGTGGCCGTGACTATTGGGGTCATATTCCCTCAAATGGAGGGCAGTTACCACAAGACCAAGTTGCATCCGGGGACATAGGGCAAAGAGAGATGATGCCAGTCAAATGGCTGGAAGCCTGCTGAAAAGGGGTGCAGCCTCACGGTGAGGGCATGGATGGAGCCAGAGCGTTGGTTCCAATCTGCTCTGCCACTCGCCCAGATACCTGTGACCAGGGGAACTAGCTCAACCTTCTGCTCTTCAGTGTCCCCTCTGAGATGGGCAAAATAAGCAGCCACCTCGCCAGGTTCCTGCATAGACTAGCAGATCGCATCCCATAAAGTGGACCTGGCACACAGAAATGCCACCCAATGTCTGCCATTATTGCTGTCATGATGGCCAAGGCCACCTGACACTCTGAGGCCACACACACCTATCTACTCAGACATAAGGGGCCGGAAGTGCCCAGGCCAGGCTTCTGGGTCCAGGACAGCAGGAAGGGGCTCTGAGTGCTCAGAGGACATGGGAGGCTGACAACAGGAAACAAGGTCAAGGAAACTATTAGATGTGGCCGTTAAAACCTGACAGAGAACAGGCCAGAGGGCCTGCGAGAACTTCTGGAAGCCAGGAAGTCAGGCAAGGCAGCACTTGTTGTTCTGGGTGATGGCGCATGAGAGGGGACCACCCTAGCGACCAGAACCTCTGACAGAGGTGTACCCCCAGCCCGGCAGGGAGCAGAGAGAGGTCTCCAGGAAGGCCACCTGACCCTATCCAGCAGCTGCCCCGTGTGCCCGCCCCACACACATGCAGGAGCTGGGCCACCGTGCCAGGGGGAGGGCCTCCCTGACTCTGGGGTCAGGCCCTGGGCACTGAGCCAGGGACAGGAGGGCAGAGGAACCCCAGCTGGTCAGAGTCCCGGCTCTGAGGTGCTAGGGTGGGGATCCCCTGAGGGCAGGCAAGTAAGCAAAGTCCACTCGGTGTGGCACCGTGTCTAACTAGGAGTCCCGTCAGGTGCTGGCTTACACAGAACCTTCGAGCTTAGTGCAGTGGGCACCGGCACGTGTGTCCTAGCAACACCTGACCCCCAACCTGAGTCGCCCAGCACCGAATAAGCAAAACCCACATTGCAGGAACTACTGAGAAGCACGTTCTTTAAAGCTTCCACAGTACTCTCATCTTCATTAACCTGTGCACCCATTCCATCAAACTCTTCAAAAAACTCTGAAATTAAAAAAAAAAAAATTCAGGAGGCAAGTCTGACCCATTACATTAAGGAGAGAAATGTGCGTACAATCTCATTGCAAAAGGACTCATTACCACAATGCTATCTGCAGCTATTCTGAGTGGGATTCTCCTATCTAATCTCAGCTACCTAAGAACAGATTAAATGTCTGTAAAAAAAATAAAGCCATTCCAACTGCACTCCACAAAGTTAATGGAAACACTGGCGGCCAGGGGACACACGGCCCCCACTGAGGCCTGTGCCCGCAACGTGGGCAGCGCTGTTCCCTCCTCCCCAGCCCCACCCCCCAGGGGAGGCGGGAGTGGGCCTGGAACTCCACAGCTGCCCACACAGCCCGTCTGCCATAGCCAAGGACAGGCCATTCAGACTATTTCTGGTCATGCAATGTAATACTGATGCTTGAAGTATAAAAATGATACATCTGTAAAAGTGCAACAAGCTGCTGAAGTTTACATGTAATTTGAGCCAGGGTGCACTCACTTTGTACCACATTTGATTCATTCTGTGTTGCCCAAGTTTGGCTTCATTCAAGGCCCAGCCTTCCCCTCCTATCTCACCTCTCATCCTGGTTGACTGGAAGGAGAGTTTAAACAGCCAGTGGAGAGAGATGACTTCTGAACCTGACCCACAGCCCGTGGGTTGTATGAGGCTGCCTGGCACTAGGAAGGCCAATGGCTGGCTCACTCCCTGGCTTCTGTCCCTCACGGCTTTCCCAGCACAGACAGGATGCGGCACAAAGCCCTTCACTAGCACAATCTTCCCAAGCTCGCTAAGGACCATGCCCCAGCCCACTTCTCCCTATGCCTTTGCCCAGGCTGTCCCCTCGCCCTAATGCCCTTCCCCTCCTTGTCCTTGGGCTTGACACTCCCTACTCGTGCCTCATGACCAGTTTAAACAGCAATCGCTCTGTGAACCATCTCCCAAGCAAAAATAAATAACTGGGCTCTTCAAAACACAGCCCTGTCCATAGCCCCGGAGAAAACACCTTTAACACACTAAACTCCCATCTCCCCCAAGCTCTTTAGGGAAGGGACTGAGTCGCCATCTTGTCTGTACACTACGGAGCTGAGCACAAAGCAGACCCAGCGAAAGAGCCCAAACAAGCTCGTATAAAACAATTAAAGGATAGAAAAACATAAATTTTGTATCCCCAGTGGCCCAGATGAGTTTGTACATATGAAAAGCTATATGAAAACACTTTTTACCAACTAAATAGATTTTTTTAAAGCCATGACTATAAAATAATGAAACTGGTTTTCCTGCACCTCTCTTAGGCTGATGCTGATGGCAGTGTACAGAGAGGCTACACACTGTCGGGGCAATGGCCACTGCCTGAAATGAGTCCACAGCCTCCTGGGGCCCTACGGTATACAAGAAGGCAAGGCCTGGGTCAGGAGCCTGATTTGGGGCTTGTCTGTCACTCACCAGCCAGGGGACCCTGGGCAGCCCTTTCTCCACCTGGCTCTCTACATGATGTCTGTGGAGTGAAGGGACAGAAGGCAGTGGTCAGAGCCCATCTAACCCCAGAACACTTCAGAGCATAGAGCACATCCATCGCTAAGGCACTTATTCCCATACTACAAAGAACACAATGCAACAAGACAAACCTCCAGCCGCAACACTGTGATAGTCAGACGTGCTTTCATACAGGAGTCCTGCTTAACAATGCACAACCTGCCAGATGTCACTGCTGCGCAGTAGGCACCATAACCCACCAAGCAGCAGGCTGGTCCTGAGGCTAACGAAGTGGTATCGGACACTATTAATACAAAAAGGGAGGTACTGAGAGCCTGAAATAAAAACCACAAGGGATTTCATAACTCTGAGTACACGGCTTTCCAAGCAAGCCTGGTTAGACTCCTGCACACTTCAGAAGGAAGAGGGTACAGAAACGTGGAAAGACGTCTACACAGGACGGACGGACAGCCTCCAGGAGGGTGCACACATGCTAGGCCTGCAAGCTACATCCAGAAAAGGCAGCTGGGAGACAAGCCAGGAGCCCTCATTCTTCTCTCTACACCCTTTCATAATCTTTGACCCCACAGATAAGTCACATAGCCTCAGTGTGAAATCAGGTAAGGCATGTGTCAGCCTCAAACACCAGGTCTGGAAATGTCCCACTGTGACTAGGTCATATCTCTCCTGATCATGTGTACAACTCTCAAACATGTTTTTATCCCACTCCTTGCTGAAGCGGAAAGTCAAGGTAACTTAAGGCCCAGAACAGCTTTCTGATGTCGTGTGACCTTGGGCAGGGATTTAATGAAAGGGTCACTTCCAGTCTCTAAGAAACACGTGCACTCCATGGCCCTCTGTCTCCAGGGCAGCTGTACTGGACTGGAGGGTGGGCATAAAGCACTTGGCCTGCTGTGTACTTGGACCTGGGATGGACAGATGAAGGATAAAGG